AATGACACTTTGGATGAACCAAGAAAAATGGATTCTAAGGTAACCAAAAATAAATGTTAAAAAAAAGAAAAAAAATGTTCAAAAAACAAAAACAAAAAACAGGGAGCAATCCACAGCGGACGAGCATCCTACGAGGAGGAAAAACCATTACCACCTTTTTATTTTCAACCCCCAAGCTTCGATCGTCACCATCCTCATCATCATCATCATCCTCCACTCCAGATTTGGACTTAAAAAAAATATCTGCAAAAAAAACTGTCCCGCAGCAGCCGCTTTCTTTAAAACCCACCAATCGCTCCAGTCCAAGCCAGCGTTTCCTTCACATGGTCATGGTACGGACATCCAGTTACTGGTCACATCCACAATCCAAGCCGGCGAAGACATGAAAAGCAGCTATAATTTCCCCCTCTCCAAAATCAGATAGATATATTATTGGCGTGCCGTGTTATAGAAATCCCCCATCCTACGTGGATCAGCCCTTTAAGTCCGCAGTCCAGGAAGCGTCACTTACTCCAGGTGTTACATTCCACGGGAGAGAGCGGTTTTAGAGATGGCCAGAAAAGCAGTTTAATCCCCAGGAGACGGCAGGACTGTGTACATCCAAGGAGGTGCCATTCTTCAGTCTTCAGAAAACCATTCCCGGCTAAGTGTACAATCCACAGAGATCGACAGTCAAGTCCCCCTTCCCCTCTCCCCGCCCCCCCTCGGTTGTTACACCATCCGTGTGCCAGGCCCCGTTATAGCCGCCAGTAGACATGGCCGACGTTTACACTCCAGGAGGTAAGGACTAGGATAACTCCAGGTATAGATCCACAGCGAGAATAATCCATGTCAAACCCGGCGCCATACTTCCACATGAAGTCACACATCCAGCCAGCTGCAGGAAGACTCCCACCTTTACGGATCCACAAGATCCAAGCCATCGGGATAAGAATCCTATGTTTCCAAACCCATGAGGAAGCATACAGGATTTCCCAAAATTTTTTACATCCAACGGGGGGAACCTAAGTGAGTTTTTGTTTCCTCATCATATAAAATACAAAAATACCTGCCTAGTGAAACCTTACAACTTACCCATCGAGTCTCCGTTCATAACGTCCTTCCCGTGCATGGAGTGATTGCGGGGGACCGTAAGCCGGCCCCCCGCCACCTCCTCTGAACCCAGAAACCTCTCTACTACGAGACGTTATGGAAACTGTCTCATCCAAAACCCGGGCAGCTCCTGGAATGGTGCCCGGTTCGTTATAATCCGTCCGGAGGTCACGGTCCCCCATTTTATTGACAGCATTGTGCGCCTTCTGTGCACTTTTAATATCCACAAAATCCACAAATGCTGCCACGCCGCCATCGGATCCCCTTTTAGGCAAAATTTTGACACTCTCCACGCGTCCATATCTGCAAGACAAAAAAAAAAGAAGAAGAAAGCAAAAATACAGACGTTAGATATATAGGAAACATGATACGCATTTCATTTTATATTCATTACTTGGCAGACAACAAACACACACACACACACACACACACACACACACACACACAGTACAACTTATTCCACGTGAACCTTTAGGCCCCATTCACACTGAGCGGATTGCCGCGCGATGTCGTGCATTACCGCCGCGCGATGTCGTGCATTACCGCCACGCGATGTCGTGCATTACCGCCGCGCGATGTCGTGCATTACTGCCGCAGGATATCGCGAGAAGTCGCCGACCAATGTTATCCAATGGAGCTGTTCTAATGTACAGCTCGCTGTCGCGTCAACAGGATCCCTTTTCCCGCGGATGTCGCGCGATTTTTCTGAATGCAGCCCGGCGCTGAAGGTCGCGCTATGGTCGCTGGAACGTCGCCCTGGCTGCACGGATCCGCTTGTAAGGTACGTCGCTTAGTGTGAATGGGGCCTTATTCTCCCGCTACTCTTAACGTATCACCCCGGTAAATCCTAAGCCAAGAAAGTTGTTCATTTAGACGTTTGGCGAAGGACAAGTCTTAACCTGTTCACACAGTGGCCGCCCTTAGAAATGTGAATATTCTAGCCCAGAGGTTGACTAATAGTTGGAAAATTGCACGCCGGCCAAACACCTGCCATGAGCCGTGTACAAGGCAGCTAAACCCGGGGGGGGCTCCTCATGTTCTGACTTGTCCTCTCAGCCAGAGAGGGATTTTAAGGCTGAAAAGATTGTGCGTCTTAAAATTGAATTACAATAATGTAACCCAACGCCGACCTTCACCGACACCATGCGTCAGCCATGATTGGCGAGCACAAAGCGTTATATATTTGGTGAGCCCCCTCCCTGGTGATAACAGATGAATGATGGTGGAATGGAGGCAGCTCGGTGCAGACATTATTGTAGGTAGGGGCCGGGGGGGGGGACACAGGCAGCCGTCTTATTCACACATAGGGTGGGATCTCTCTCCACAACTCTGTTCATCTCAGAACATCTGGAAGTTATTTCAGGCCGGGGGCTTAATTCTTTCCACAAAAGCAAAACGGGGGGGGGGGGGGAGATTGGGACACCGCGAGAGCCT